AAAGTTTAACCACCCACCACTGTATTTGTTTTGCGAGCTTTAAGAGGGGAGCGAAGGCCTGTTTGTACGCACTACCCGTCCCCAGCTCAGCTGCACGGCTGGGTGGTTGGAGCTTTGACCAAGAAGTTGGGGCCCACGGGCAGCGCCACCGGGCTGAACTGTACGCCTTTTCATAAAGGCAGAGGAATTGGGGTTAAACACGCTATCACCCTCCCACCTGAGGAAAAGGCCTCTTTGTTCCGGAAGGCAAAGCCCAGCCTGATTTAACTAACTGCAAGCAGTTACTATAAGCAAGGCAGCAAGAAAGCTCTAGTCTAGAACAGGAAAGCCATCCACTTGATGAGGGTTTCTCCAGAGTCCAATACCCAGAAAGACACAGCTCAGGCGCCTCATCTGACAGTTAACCTGAAATCACCTGGTCTTTCCTCTGCTTCCTGGCCTGGGGGAAAGGACGGGGCTGCCGGGCCAGGCCTGCGCCTTCAAAAGTTTCCACGGCTCTCGGGATTCGGAGCAGGAGAAACCGTTCACTGCACGCGTTTCAGCCTTGCCGGGAACGCCTCCCCTGAAGTCGGATCCCTCCTACGCGGGCCCCCCTCCTCTTAGCGCCTCTCTCTTACCCTTCCTACCAGCCGCCCGGGGCGCGCAGACCCCGGCCCTCTGGCAGGCGCGGCGAGTCGCGGGGGCGGCTGGCCCCCCTCGGGCGGCGGCGGCGGCGGGCTGCCGGGCGGGTCGTTGCGCGCCGGCGAGGAAGGGGCTCGTGGCCGGGCGTTCCCGCCCCGCCCCGAGTCCCCACCTCCCCGCAGTCGCCTCCCGCCCGGGCTGAGGAGCCTGAGGAGAACGTCTCAACTTAGTGCCCTGGGGCACTTTTTCCTCGAGTCAGCGAGCTGGCCTCTGTGAGCCCCGGGAGGCAGGTGGAAGGCGGCGGGCGGTGGGAGATAGAGCAGAGGTGCGCGCGTCAGGAGACCCGTGGAGGAAAGCAGCCCGGGAAGGGGGTGGCGGTGGGCGCCAGAGGAACGGCCGTGGGATGGAGGGGGGCCCCACGGCGATCGCCCCTGGGGTACTGACCTGCACTGAGGCCCCCGGGACGGACCTGAGGCTCTGCTCCACACCTGCAGGTCCAGCGCCTCCACGCCACGAGCCATGGTGCTGCCCGGAGCGACGGGGGAAGGAGGCCTCCTGGGTGGCGGCCGGGCTGTAGGGCCGGGTAGAAGCGCCTTCAAAAGGGGCCCACGCGGTGGAACACTGGGCTGCCGGTGCGCCCTCCACACCGCCCCCGGGCGGCCGGGCTGTGCACTGCCTGCCCTGCAGGGCTCCTGACTCTACATTCTTTCCTTGATTTCGGCATTCTTTTCTTGTATCCTACATCCATTCCTTTGCCCATTTTAAAAGTCATTTGTATTTTGATGCGTTCAAGACACAGGCCATATTCACTGAATGCCAAGCCTAGGGCTGAGTACTGTGGGCACCGAGATAAGAAAGACCAGATCCTTTCCCTCCAGGACTTCACGTTAAATGAAAAGTTCATTCATTTTGACGTGTTTTTATTCTGAAGTGCACGATCACAAAACTCTGTGACAAGGGTCATGCTTCGGAGATGTTAAAACTGCTACGGGCGCACAAGGGAAAGAGAAACGAATCGCTGTCAGCCCGCGCGGGGAAGCTGGCCTCCTGCGCGGGGAGTGAGTGTCCACGTGGCCGGGGCGGGCACAGAGGGACGGCGCAGACCTGCAAGACCCGAGCCTTGGGACTCGGTAAGCCCACGTGCTGGTCTGCAGCCACTGCTGCTCTTCCCTCCCGGAACTTCAAAGGAAGACGCCTGTCGGAAACGGGACATGAATCTTAGAGATGAGGGTCGCGGTCACTTACCCAAATGCCACTTTCAGCTGTGGGTGATGTTGACTTGGAAGGTCCGACGAGCCAATAGCCTCTTTTCCAGGGAGGCCTATTCCTATTGGTGGCAGCAGCAGCAGCAAAGTCCGCGAGTTCCAGGCTGTTTCAATCAGCAAATGTTTAAAAGGTCTCTGGGTTTAACAAGGCAAAGAATATTCTGCCAGGTAATTATTTTAATATGCATCTCCAGGTAGGAGCAGTTGGAAATACGTAAGGTATATAAAAGCATACATAACTGACACCCCTGTCCACTGAAAGACAAACACACGACTCAAAAGTTGTGAGTTAAGTTTTATTCAAGGACCTTACTGAGGACTATTAGCCCTGCAAACAGTCCATCAGATAGCTCCGAGTAGCTGATGAGAGGAGGTAAGGGAGGAGCCAGGATATGCCTGAATTTTTTTGCTGTGGGAAAAAACAAAACAAAACAAAAACATGTCCTGGAACATCCAAAGATTACTGCTAATCACAAAGAACAGACATCTCAAGTTAATGATTTTAGTGCTTTTCTATGTATGAAAAGAATCTGGGGTCACTGAAATTTTCCCTTAGATAGGCATCTTAACTATCTAGATGTATACAAAGCCCAGAATGCTCCCTAGTTTTCTCCATCCTGAATTCCCCTCAGGGGGCACTGCCCATGGGCGACTGTAGTGGCTAATGGCTTGATCCTTGTAAAACTGAAATGGCAGGCAACATTTTTTTCTTTTCTTTTTTTAAGATTTTTTTTTTAATTAATTTATTTATTTTGGCTGTGCTGGGTCTTCGTTGCCACATGCAGGATCTTTTTAGTTGCGGCATGTGGACTTCTTAGTTGCATGCATGCGGGATCTAGTTCCCTGACCAACAATCAAACCCTGGCCCCCTGCATTGGAAGCGCGGAGCCTTACCCACTGGACCACCTGGGAAGTCCCAACATATTTTTTCTTTATGCCCCCTTTTGAAAGTCACTTCCAGTAGGCTATTAGGCAAATGCCTTATTTTAGAGTCCGTTTCATCAGAGATGCCCGCTGGGTACAGACAGGCTTGGAAGTTCCCGTTTGTGTAGTCACAGTCCCTGCAGGTGGGTGCCACGGTGGCATGACTCCTTTTTAGAAGAAAAGGAGAGGAAATGTTACAGCACTGTTCTTGTGGGAAGGATGTGGACTCTGGTGTAAAGAGGCAAACTGTGACTTCATTGGAGAGTGTTGGAGGAAGTATAAGAAATATTATATTTATACATATAGCATATATAGATACTATATATATTATATATACTATATATACTATATATATAGTATATATAGTATATATAGTATCTATATATACAATTTTTATGCTTTAAGCCTTTTTAATTCAAAGAAAAGCCACTATAAAGGGACAACCCTTAACTTCAAAATACTAGGACTCCACTAGGGACCACAGTCCCTTTAGAAGGGGATTGTAAACTGGGATAACATCTTTTTGTATCAGCAAACTTCTTGTTATAAGTGTTTTTTAAAGGCAGGGCAATTCTACTGAATAACTTACCAGTGGGTAGTTAAAAGGAAAATCCATTGTCAACGTTGCATTTATTAAGAACATCTACCATGTACAAGGGCCCTGTGCTTCAAAGGGGCCAGAAGAAACCCTGAGCCCCACTAGGTACCAAGGTTGATTTATACGTTATCTCACTGAATGCTCAGCATTCTGTGTACTGTCATCTCCCTATCAAAATGAGGACATGGGTTCAGAGAGGTTTAAGTTACTTCCCTGAGGTCACCCATAGAATATGTAGTAGGTCCTAGATTTGTATTCAATCTTTCAGTCTCCTAAACCTTTATTCTCACCACACCACTACACTGCTAAGACATGACTAACCACTGCTACACTTCAGTAGTTCTCCTAATTTGGACCAGTTTCTGTAAACAGTTTCACATCTGTAATAACCTACAACTAGTTTCGCAAAGTAGAGAAGAGATACATGTACATAAATAACTGTAATTGGTGATGCATATATTATTGATAGACATAAAAGTATCATTTAAAAAATAAACCGTAGGTAAGTTCTTATAAAACACTATAGAGGGAGAAATAGTTGTAAAAGGCAGCTCCAAGTACCTCAGATTTGAATGTGCACATGAAATGCCAGGGGATGGTATTGAAACGGACTCTGATTCAGTGGGTCTGGAATGGGACTTGAGGTCTTGCATTTCTAACTAGAAGATGTTGCCGGTACTGCTGGTCCACTCACCACTCTTTAAATAGCAAGGCTCTAGGAAAGATTTCACCTGCATGTTTGAGGGAACTGGGGATGGGGAAGAGGGGAGGAGTATGAAACTTAAGGATAGTTGAAGTCAGATCTTTGAAATTTGTGAATATCACACATGCTAAGATATGAATTATAGTTTCTAGGCACCAAATCTAACAATTCTAAATTAGTAAATTAATTCACAATAGGTATTATGTTTTTCACTTTCAAAAAATCATTTGTTTATGGCAAAGATCCTGGCTCATTTCTCACTGGGTGGTAATAGTCATTGTTTTGTGCTGTGCTTTGTTCCTTTCAAATGTCTATGTCCTGTTCTGTATACGACAGTACAAAGAGTTCTGTACCCTGATTCACATTTATAATGACCAATAACCAAATAACAGAAGAATCTTTTGCTCAGTAATGTACTCTAACATGGAAGTTTAAACTTACAACCTTTTTCTTGAATTTCTCTAGCAGGTTGCCTTCATATAAAACTTTCACTGATTTATGATGTTAAAGGGGATTTTTTAAAGTAGTCTAGAAAACATGAGACAGGCTAATAGTAAAAATGCAACAATTTTCTGGGATAGGCAGACAAGAACAATATTCACAGTGAAGTTTATGTGGAGGAAAAAAATGCTACCCTTTTCTGTAAGACTGAATGTGCCTAGGAGGGGCACAGCACATCATGCACTTTTCACAAGGCTGTGCAAGTACTAATAAAACAATCCTTGTGGGATCGAATATGCATTTGGTATGCAGTTTAATTTTCATAGGTGTATAGAATACTCCTTCAACTTTGTCCTTTAACACGAAAGGAAAAGAGAAAACTTATACTAAAAAACCTGATCTTCTCCAGAACTAAAAGCAGTATCAAATAACAGTTGTCCTTCATAGCCAAATACAAGACTGTTAGCTGGTGATGTTTTTTTCTTTCTTATTCTTTCCTTTAAGAGATTTTAAAATGCAATGATTACTGGATATACAGCAATCATCCTCTCTCTCAAGGACAGCCCCTGAGAATGGTCCAGGCCAGGGTTGGTGAGTTGTCTGAGGTCAGTTCAGGCATGGTTTCCACTGATGACACAGTCAGAATAACTGGAAGCAAGAGTAGAGAAGGGTATGGAAAACACATTCTAAAGCTATGGCAAAAATAAACAGGACAAGAATCCAACAGTTTCCCTCATCAAAGTTAGGTTTACAAAAAAAAATAAGCCCAGCCTAAAGCTGCAAAGACATTAAATATTGCTTTAAAATATAAACACAGTTCTTGATGAATTACAGCCATCAATTTGCTCAAAATAATAGTCTTCAAACATACTACATCTGATCTTAAAATATCCATTTTGTCTCCCAACTCAGCTACACATTATAGTTCCCTCCAGGGCATAGATTAGCCTAATAGCTACTTTTTACAACAGCAGAATATAGAGACTGCAGGCTCTTCTTCTAATCTGTACTTTCCAGAATTGGGCAGATCTTTGCACTCTGATATAAATACACGAAGTTCAGTCTCAGGGAAGCCATCTTGTTGGTAATGCTATACAGAAGAATAAAAAAAAAAAAAGTTTTCATTAATAAGTCCCCTGAAAACAGCTTTATTTCAAATTCAAAGTGGATCAATTAGCTACACAGGTTGGGATTTTTCTAAAGGGATAGTTTACTTGCTTCCAAGTATTTTCATGGGGATGTAGCCTCTAGAACCAGTCTTAGATTTGGCTAAGGAAAAGTGGGTCTAGGATTCTGCAGTGCCCTGCTCTCTTTTGTGGGTCTGATTCAACCCCAGATGGGCATGTTGCATCTGAGAGCTCCTTCCAGGTAAAATCCAGCCTGCACACCCTTATGGAGTCTGTCTTCCAGACAGACAGATTTATTTAAAGGCCTAATATTTATATCAGTTTGGGAGTCTAAGATCTCTAGAATGGGCCCTGACCAGCAAGGATCAGAAAGGACTCGCCCATCTGACAAGTGCTCTGAGACCATGGAAGCAGGTTAACATCTAAACTACGAGTTTTAGGCTTGTGTCATCCAGAGCTGTCAACTCATGTTATTCTTTGAGACCTCAGATGTCACCCTCTAATAATATATATATATAGCTCTCTGCATGCAGAGTTGAAGGTAGTGAATTTTTAGAGCACCATGGAAAGGGATTTGTACAGGTACAACTACCTTCTTTCCCAGTCTCCTTGGTGACTCTAAGCAAGTCTGCCAAGCAAGTATTGACGACAGTCGGTTCCTGACATCTGATTCAGTAAGAATGAAGTCAGAACCCGGGCTTCGTGAGCAAGGTATTTGTAATTATCAATTCATAATCCATCAACTCCTGATGGTCTTTCTCCTTACATTCGCATGGCATCATGTTTCATTACCCCTCTCGTGCTCAGAAAGAAAAGTTCCCAAGTGGAAGTGTCTATGCCAATAGTATACCTAACAGTATAATGTTATTAGAAATTTAAATACAGATGGATATTTATTCTGCCTTTCCATATTTCAAAGGGCTCAAACTGATTTTTAAATATTCAATGTGGAGTGACAATATGAATAACAGCTTTTCAAATCATGTTTCTGACTGTGTAACACACACATGGCTCATACTTGACACATTAATCCCCTGACTGTTCTGTAGACCAGGCCTCTGGGGTAGTCCCATGCAGGGGTTCATTCCAAATGAAGAGGTCAATTTTTCTTTATGAAAAGTGGATTTTAAAAGCTCCCACAAAATTTCAACTGTCTGTTTCACTCACTCAGTATCTACTGATCCTTATAATTCTAATAAACTATTTGAAACCCTGTCTGAAAGAGCACAATTACTCAGAGACAAAACTTTCAACATTCTAGAAATTCTATTTCTCTTTCATTTCTGTTTTTAGTACCTAAAATTGAGATCCTTCTTCTCTACCCTGAAGAAATTACCATTCCATTGATCCCCTCCCCCTCAGGTACTGTATTTTTTCTTTTTTTTTTTTTTGCCTTACGCGGGCCTCTCACTGTTGTGGCCTCTCCCGTCGCGGAGCACAGGCTCCGGATACGCAGGCTCAGAGGCCATGGCTCACGGACCCAGCCGCTCCGCGGCATGTGGGATCTTCCCGGACCCGGGCACGAACCCGTGTGCCCTGCATCGGCAGGCAGACTCTCAACCGCTGCGCCACCAGGGAAGCCCCAGGTACTGTATTTTATTGCCACTCTGCAAGTTCTAGGAAAATGCTGCTCCTCCTTGTTCTTGATGAACCTACCTTAATTGTTTCATACGTATCAGTGATCAGTGCAATAAAAAGACTTAAAATCATGTATATAAAGAGGCTGATGAATGAGTAGAGGTAAATCCTGCTAAAGAGCCAGACCAAGTAACTCTTCTGCTGCATGTTTGCAAATGTGGCAAACATATCATCTCCGTTTATCAGCGAGAAAAGGCACTCAGAGACCATGTTCAGAGAACGGAACTGGAAAAACAAAAAAGAAAAGTTCACTTTACTAGGTGTTCCTTCCCATTGGAGACTTTGATCATGACACCATATTAAAAATAGTGGGACTAGATATCTCAAGTTACCCCTTCAAACAAATAACCTGGGGTAACCACAAGCATTTTTTTTTTAACAAGAGAAAATCACACCAAAGTTTGATAACATGTACACATTGGAGACACCCAGGAAAATGGAGTCATTCCTCCAGGCATTTGTCTTGTGATGTACGTAACATGTACATGCCTACTGTTTTTCTTGGAACAAGCAGCTCCTTCAGACGCTCCTCTTAATAGGAGCAGCCTGAACTGAAGATAGGAGAGCTGGTCTGCACCTTCAGTGCTTTTCTGAGTCAAGCTTTACCCTCCCATTTACCTTGGTAGAAAGAGATCCTTGAAATACTTCTGTGAGAAACACAGGTCCCAACCATGCATACTCATTCTTCTCATTTTAAAGTTCATGCCATTTAAGATGATGGCATTACACTCAAGACTATAACTCTGGTGAACAAAATATTCAATATTTCTTCAACTTTCTCCCTATACTACTGTTTAAAATAAAGTCAAATTTCAATAAGACTTAACTAAATAGCCCACTCTAGTATATATCGATGAATCAGATTGGCAAGTTTGACTTCGCTGACGGTAAGAAAGACTTAATTATCTGACATATTCCACAAAAGGAGCTGAGGCAGTCAAGTGAATCAGTTATCCTCTCAAGGTGGTCTTACCTTACCAATTTATAAACTTGGCAATAGGTACATTACCTACAACATTTTAAGGCTGAGCCACAAAGTAAAAGGAGCTTATTTTAAAAGGATAACAAGCCACTGGCACTACTCTGAGAGCTTAATAACAACAAGAAAAAAAAAATTGTTTATCAGTACCTTATCATGGTAAGGCCCCAGTACAATCCATCCACAGAAGCAATAGCCTAAGTAAATCATAGCTGCACAGCAGCAGAACCTGATGACGTTGGGCAGCGCTGCCTGAAGGGTGAGAATGAGGAGCTGGGAAAGTAAGAGACGTCATTAGAATCCCTTTGTCCTTTAGACAAAGCAGTGCAATAACTTTGAAAGAGAAATACCAGCAGCTTGGAGAACCGTGGAATTCCTTACATTGTATTTCTGAAAGAAACCAAGGTATCGGATGACTCCTAGCCACACGAGCATGGTAGAGGTACCAAGAAGTATGCTACAGACATCATAACTTGTCAGACTCTAAAACAGAGTGGAAAAAATAATCAGTTATGTAGCAGAAATTCATTTGGGGCAAAAAGTATTTGTTGAGTAGCAATGAGTCGGCACTGTTCTAGATGCTAAGGACAAAGCAGTGAACAAACAAAATCCCCTGCCCTCGTGAAGCTTATATTCTAGTGTGGAGAGAGAGATGATAGAAATAAATTAGCAAAACCCTCAGTACGTTAGCTGATGTTAAGTGCTGAGGAGACAATTCAGGGGAGGGGATAAGGGAAGGCTGTATGTTGCATTTCAAATAGCATGGACTGATCACTGAACAGGTGGCCTTTGAGTAAAGACATGAAGGGAGTGAGGGAGCAAGCCAAGCAAAAATCTTGTGGCAGATTTCCAGGCACAGGGACCTGTAAGGGCAGAGGCCCCAAAGCAGGAGGGCGCCTCGCAAGATAGTGAGTCTGGCTGGAGTGAGCTATGGGGGAGAGTGTGCAGTCACAGAGGTGAGGGGGCAGGTAGTTTAGGGCCTCACGAGTGTAATTTAAAAACTTTACCTTTTATTCTGAATAGACTGGGGAGATTGAGGCTCTGAACAGGAGTGATATGTTGGGAGCAGATTGTTGGAAGAGTGAGACGGTTACTGCAATAATGCAGATGAGAGCTGACGGTGCCTTGGACCAGGATGGCAACAGTGAAGGTGATGAGGTGATTTTTTTAAGGGAGACAAATAGGATTTCCTCTTGGACGAGATATGGAGGAGAGGGGTTAGTGAAAGAGAGGAGTTGAGGATGAATCTATGGCTTTTGTCTTGAGCAACGGAAAAGAGTTGCCATTAACTGAACTTAGAAAGGCCATGGAGAAGCAGGTTTGGACTGTGGAGGTGGAGATTTCAGGAGTTCTGTTTCAGGTATGTTAAATTTGTGAGGCCAGGTAGACATCCAGGTGAAGATGTGGAATAGACAGTTGGATATTTGAGACTGGAGTTCAGGGAATAATTCCAAGCTGGAGATAGAGATTTGAAAATCACTGGAAAATAGACACTATTTAACACAATGGGACAGGATGAGATCACCAAGACAGTGGCAGAAAAAGAAGGTGTCCAAGCACCGTGCCTTGAAATACTGTCACTTTCATAGGTTGGTGAGATGAGAAGGAACCAACAATGGAAAGTCAGAAGACCAGCCAGTGATTTAGGAGGAAAACCAGGTAAGTGACAGCCAGTGAAAAAGTTCATCAACAAAGAGGGCGTGCTTGCAGTGCTAAAAGCTGCTGATTGGTCAAAATGAGGATAAGTAATTGATTATTGAATGTAGCAACACGAGAGGTCATTGGAACATTGCCCTGGAGTGGCAGGGCAGCCTGACTGGAACAGATACAAGAGGGAATGGGAAGCGCAGAGTCAGAAACAAGATTAAATACTCTTTTGAGGTATTTTGCTGTATAAAGGGAAGCAGAGAAATGGGGAAGTAGCTGGAGGGAGAATAGGTTGAGATTTTGCCTTTTTAGAAAGGAGAAAAAAAAAAAACCATGCTGATGGAAATGTCCTGGTAGAGAATGAGAAATTGAGGATGCATGAGAAAAGGAGGAAGAATAGCTGGACCCATGCCCTGGAGTAAGCAAGCAGGGACGGCATCTGAAAGGCAGGAGGTGGAGAAGTTGGCCTTGGATAGTAACCTAAATAATATATCTACAGTAGCAGAGAAAAAGCAAAGCATATGGGCACTGATGCTGGCAGGTATATAAGTGAAGTGGGAATTTGTGGAATTCCTATTTTGTTTCCATTATTTTGTGAAATAGGAAGTGAGGTCATCAGCTGAGAGTGAGGATGGGGCAGGGAGTATTACAAGCTTCAAAAGAGAAGAAATATGAAATGATCAGCTAGAAGACAGGGGGAATGAATAGTTTAGAAAAATGCAGAAAGATTGTTGGACACCATTAAAGGCTCATTGAAGTTAATGGTAGGTGAGGTTGGTAAAAATAAAGATTTGCTGCAAATTTCCCCCTACTCCTCCTTTTTTGGTCGCTACAGTTAAACATCTATTCTAATGATATATACTACATTGACATATAGTGACAGCTGCTCCATGGCCTCCTAAACCCATTCTCTCTTTCTGAGGTACATGCCTGGGCTATCTCCCCCAGTTCCCTTGCCGTCAGATGTGACTAAATTCTATCCAGTAGGACTGAACAGAAATGAGGGCTGCCATTCTGAGCCAGGTTATAAGACTGTGAGAGACCTACTACCATACCAGGTTTTCCCTTGCATGGGTTGCAATCTGTTTGTGAGGCAACCCAGCATCAGTCATGCAGTCTGGGTGAGCCCTTAATGGTCGGCAGAGAAAAAGATGGGACAAACTTGGATTCCTGAATGGTGTGGAGCTGAGCAACTTGCCAGCACGTAAAATCCACCCTGACTATTACATGAGGGAGAAATAAACTCCTGCTTAACTGAGCCATTGCATTTGGGGTCTCTGCCCAGGAATCTGAACCATAAGAGGCTCCCCACGGATCATACTCATATTTAGTTGTAGTCAGGCTAGAAAAATATAAATTTGAACAAGATTAGTTTGAACAGTATTCGTTTGGTTTTGTCTTGTTTTTGATTTTTGTTTTGGGGGAGGGTTGATATCCAGGCTGGATTCCTCCTAACTTAAAATGGAAAACCTTGTAGTACATACATAGGAAAAGTAGGAAAAGGGGAATAGTCTCCATTTAAATGGACAAAGGGAACAACTGCAAGGACTCACACAATAGTAGTTTGGCCTCACTTCCCTCCACCTACCCCCAGCCGACTCTTTTTGTTGAAGATTCTGGTATTTCTTGTAAGAACAACAAAAAACACCTTTTACTTTAGTTACCTTGGAGTGTGTATGACTTTTGGTGTGTGTAAGAATTCACAGGCCCCACCCCCAGAGTTCACATTCAGTAGGTCTAACGTGGGGTATTTACCAACTACCCAAATGATCCTGATGCAGAGGACTGTGAATCACACTTTGGAAAACTCAGCCTAAAAGATTTCTGGACCAGATTTTTACAAGTTACTGTTATTTCAGGTTTACTCAATAAAATGTTTGAAAGAAACAATTTACTCTGTGAATTCTTAACATTTTGGAAAAAATAAATGATCGTTAATGCAAATCTGATACTAACAATGACATAAATAGGAAAAAATTTTACCTTAGCTTGGATTTCCATTTTCAGAATTGATCCAGTAATGGTTAATATGTCACTAATAATAATCATAATATACCATCCATTGACAAATTCCATTCGATCAGAAACAGAAACTTCCTTCTTATAATGGAGGAGGAAAAAATTGACAAATTCCTTTCGGGAAAAGAAGGGAGGCACGGTGAATTTCTCTATCAATCAAAATGTCCATCACATTCCTAGAAAGCAGAGATCCCTACCTGCTGAAGCTGAAGTCCTTTCACCACAGATCGAACACACAGGATTAACGAAGCCAGGCATATCAGAATAACGAAGGCATCAAAGATCATCATGTAATGAGTGTTCTTCTGAACTGGAAGGAAAGTGGATTACCTGCTTATGCAGTGCAACATTAATATGGTGACATATACTTCTTATTTTTCTTTTCATTTTTAGCCTCATTTATTTTAATGGCCGCATTGCATACTTCAGTATAGATGTACAATACTGTATTTGTAAAGACACTTGGATTGGAATCTGGTTTTCCCTGCTACAAACCATTCTCCAGGTCCTCTTTGTGCACAGGTGCAAGTGATCCTTTAGGTGGATGAATATCCAAAGATGGAACTGTTGGGGTAAGGCATATGCATCTTTCTAAAAGAAGATCTAAGAAATTGCTCTCCAAAAAGATCATGAAAGTTTACATACCTACACATACCTCCACATCTGCTCCATATTCTTTAATTTTTGCCAGTTAAAAGAGCAAATGATTTGAAATGCCGTCTTTACCATGTATCACATGGCCGTTTGTATTCAAGTACCATATCTTACCCTTCTGACGTTTTCGTGTGTTGTAACGCCTAAGAAAAATACCTCTCATTACTCTTTCCTAGAATTTCTGCTGGCTAGTCTTGCTTGTTATATTTCCATATATTCTTCAGGGCCAGATTGTCAAATTCCAATAAAAATCCTACAGGTAATTTTGGGGGGGAGTCACGTTGAATTTATAGATTAATTTAGGAAGACTTGACATATTCATCATGTTGAATCCCTTGTCCAAAAACATAGTGTGCCTTTTAATTGATTCAAGTCTTCTTTCTGCATCCTTCAGAAGCATTTTCAAGTTTTATACGGATCCTTCACACTATGTTTAGAATAATTTAAATAATTCAAGCATTCTTTGCACAAAGACAACAAAGAGAAAAGGCTCAGATACAGATTCTTCCATGAGCATTTAAAGACTAAAAGTCCTTCTTTTAAAAATCATCACAACCATCCATCAAAGATCTTTATTTATCAACTTGTAGTCTTTTGTTCTTAATACCGTTAGGGTTCCTGCATATCCTATTTAAATATACTTATCTAGGTATAAAATACTTATTAAGCATCAGGTGTGTTTCTACATGTTGAGAGTATAATGGGTGAACAAGACAGACGAAGCCCCTGACCTTGTGGAACTTCTATTCTACTCCAGCGATATAAGAGAAAAAAGTGAACAAGTAAATGAACGAATTATTTTCTGACAGGAGTAAGAGATAGGAATAAAGTAAATCCAAATAGCTAACATGTATTGAGTGCATTTCCTGCCGGGCATAGTTCTAAGAATTTTATAGGTTTTAACTCACTTGCACCTCACAGCAACACCCACGAGGTAGATGTGATTATCCCACTTTGCAGGTGAGAACTGAAGCACAGAGAGGTCACAGAACTTGCCCAAGGTTCCACGGCCAGTAAGTGGCAAAGTCAGGATTCAAACCTTTGCAGTCTGTCTCCAGCATCCATCACTCTGTGTTAGTGGCTCTTAGCATCCCTTGGGAACTTGTTAGGAATGCACATTCTCCTGCCTTACCCTAGACCCAGTGAATCAGAAACTGTGTTTTCCTAAGCTCTCTAGGTAACACTAAATTTTGACCACCATTGCTGAGGGAGCTTTGGGTGGGGGAATGGGGAAAAGAAAGGTTCACTTATACCGCACAATGAAGGAAGGCCTCACCAAAGAGGCAGTGGGTTTTAGCTGAGACCTGAGTGACAAGGCAGAGCCACCCATGCAGAGATTCTGGGAATCAGTCCTCCCAGCATAAGCAGAGCCAGGTGAAGAGAGGTGGGCAGAGGGCTGGCCGTCACATGCTCTCTTACAGAGCGTGTCTTTACTTAACAAGTTGTACTGCTCTATGCTGATAGAAAGAACTCAAGACTATTCTGAAATGAAGCATTCCATAATTTTGTCAAGAGGCATCTAATTGTCACACGAAGGACTAAATCTACTTCAGAAAAACTTAAAATTCAAGAAACAAACATTTGAGAGAAAGCCTATGTTCCAGGCACCTTCATATGCTCTCATTTTCCCTATTCTCAAGTTTGTGGAGAAGTATTACAATGTTTACAGATGACAAAACAGGCTTGTGTTTCAAATAAACAACTTTGTGATTGAAATAAAAGTTTGTGATTCAAGATCTTCATATATTTGAAGTTACCTATTAGTGAAAAGAATGAAGACATTTTATTTTATTTTATTTACTCATACTATCTCATTACTACATCTGAACTTCGTGAATCCATTAGTAGGAAACCCTAAAGCAATTATTATACAAGTATGGTCTGAATAAGGATTCCCTGCACATTCCTGGGTCTCACCCCCAGATCTACAGACTGTCTTGTATGAAGCTGGAGAAACTGCATCTTAGCAGGTACTTAGAATGATGCTTCTTTTCAATAGAATCTGAGACCCTCTGACCTAATCATTAAAATCTAGCACAACACACCACTACATATCAATATAAGGGACTAGGAAATTAGATCAATTCTTCCCAGTCAGTTTTATCCAGTTCAGCTCCAAAATTCTCAGTGATACTCAGTTTATACCTGAGTTTGTGTCCATATTTCTAGGAATGCACCCTTTCCTTATTTCGTCTACTTTTTTGACCTAGATAGAAGATAATTATAAGGTGTGGGATACTTCAGGGTCAAATCCTACCTGACTTCTCCCTGGCTGTATGACCCCATACACACCAAAATTCACTGAGCCTTAGTTTCTTCATCTGTAAAAATAGGGATGTTACCTATCTCAAAGATACTTTAAAATATTGAAGTGAGGAAGATGTAGGTGGAAGTATTATACTTATGCAATAAGCACTTGATAAACATTGGTTTGAGTATATGTGATTTTCTTTTTGCTGGGGGGATTATAAGCATTTTTTTCTTTTTGGTAAGGAATAGGCCAGTGAGGGCACATGGAGAAGGCAGGAAAAGCCATTGTGATTACTAATAACTTGGGAATTACTTGGAACATCAGACAACTACAATGGATTGATCTACTTGCAGAGAATTAGGGACTTGGGTATGGTCCAATTCTTTCATTTAATGTTCCACACATCCTGGGGACAAGTAATTTAATAACCATTTAATATTATTTAATAACCATCTTTAAAACTAGTAAAATTCATCACTTACTTGATCCAGATACGTGCCAGTCTTTACATTCTCTGATGGAAATGTCATTATCTAAACTTATCTTAATTCTTCCACTGTGGGCTTTGTTGTCAAATGTTATCTGTGAAGAACAGGAAAAGGGTAAAAAACATGCCTATAGCTTTTCTTTTTTCTTTTTTTTTTTTTTTTTTTTTGGGTTACGGGGGCCTCTCACTGTTGTGGCCTCTCCCGTTGCGGAGCACAGGCTCCGGACGCGCAGGCTCAGTGGCCATGGCTCACGGGCCCAGCCGCTCTGTGGCATGTGGGATCTTCCCAGACCAGGGCACGAACCCGTGTCCCCTGCATCAGCAGGCGGACTCTCAACCACTGCGCCACCAGGGAAGCCCATACCTATAGTTTTTAAAGCCAAGATGCCTCTATGCATTAATTAGGAAACAATTCTTCCAAAGTTACAGGAGACCCAGACTCTCATCTTTGACCTGTCGCTAACTCTGCTCAACCTTGGGAAGTTCTTTTTATTTCTCTGTGAGCTGAGAAAGTTGAACTAGATCTTCCATAGAGAACATTTAGTCTCTACAATCCTGCTTCCAGGACAGTATTCAAGCCCTGAACCACTTATAAAACAAAAGAATTTCCCCCTCCTTCCCATTCTAAGCACCTCTAGATGCCCTCTTACAATGGGCAAGAGCGAGTACAAGTCTGTTTTCCTCCGCCTTCCAGCAGGGCCTCAGCTAGGGATAGATTTTTAATGTTGTTGTAATTCTTACTAACACAGATGCTCATTATTTCTGTCTTGAAACATTTCAAATGGAGCTTTTTTGATTTTCCTTCTAGGACCAGATTTCTTTATCACTATAGAACCATATGTATTACAAAAGGTGTGGTCACAGGGAACCAACAGCATGTCTGGCTTCAACGATAACCATTTTGGGACACCAGGCACCAAAGCCATGCCAGAACACCTTTCATAGTTCTTCCATTGTCTTCCCCTTCTAGCTCCTTCCACTTTCCCCTTGCATACACCAAGAAGGCAAGCTAAGGAAATTAGTCTCGTTTGGGGGTTTTGTTTTTGTTTTTGGTGCCTCTTCTCTCAAGTCCTAAAGAAAAAGAAAAGTTCTTTTAAATCTGTCATTTAAATGAGTTTTATTGAAAATCTTCATGTGCGGTAATCAGATACCACTTCAAATATAAGATTTCAAATAAACTTAATAAGTTTAGTTACTCTGTTTCTCCTCATGTTGGACTGTAAGTTTCTTCCCTTGACAAGCAACCAAGGACATTGCTAGTGTCTGTTCATCTCCATAGCTGCTGAGGGAACCAGCCCACAGCCTCACATAAGGAAGATGCTCAGTATTATTTGAATGAGTCAGAAATCCTTGCCAAGGAAAAACCATGCTTTTCCCACAGAAAAAGCCTCAGGGTCTTACAAATAGTAGGTGCTCATTAAATAAATTTTGGCTTAATGTCAATCACACCTAAGTAAGGTTTAGAAGAAGGTGAATTCTTTAAATGAAGAAGAAAAAATACTGGGTGTAATTAACAACAGATTAGATAGTACAGGGAAAAAAAAGATTGGTGAATTTGAAAACACAGCAATAAAACTATTCAAAATGAAAGAAAGAGAAAAAAAAAGACTGAAAAAAAAAAAAGAAAGAGAACTGTGGGACAACTTCAAGTACCCAAATATACATATTATTGGAATCTCTGAAGAGTGGGGGGAAAGAGACAGAAAAATTTTTGAAGAAATGACACTGAGTAAATGTCAAATATAATGAAAACTATATACCCATAGATCCAAGATACTCAATGAACCCCAAATACAAGAAACACGAAGAAAACTACATCAAGGCATATCAGAATCAAATTGTTAAAATCAGAGATGAAGAGAAAAATTTTAAAGAAGCCAGAGGGGAGAAAATGCATCCCATACAGAAGAACAAAGATGAAGAAGACAGCAGATTTCTTAGCAGTGACAGCAGTTTGTATTGTTTGTATTTTTAGTTTGTAAAAGAGCAACATCTTTAAAGTACTGGGGAAAAAAACAGTCAAACTAGAGTATAATAGCTCAATTTTTTAAAAATCAAGTAATTTTGAAAATTCATAACTTGCTGGTTAATATTAAGATCAAAATCTGTAGCCCAAATAAAAACAGTCTTATAGAATTAGTGCTTTTTCTTATTAAGTAATATGCATAATTATTACATCGTCCTATATTCTGAAAATATTTTTAACCTCCATTTCTGAAAACTTGATTTCTTACAGCCAATCAGTTGAGTATCGTGGACATAACTTTTGATATAAACTACTGCTGAAGTAATAGAAATTTGGACCACATGAAGGCAAGCTGTTATCAAATGCTGTCCTGCATATGCCGATACAGCATTGTGTTACTACTGACTCAGATCCTCGTGAAGTGATGAACTCACATGAGGGGCATCTTGTGCTGCCTAGAGAGCATCAAAAGCTCCATCTGCAACTGGAAGACAGAGAACATAGATGTGATAGGGTAGGCTAAAGGCGAGGAAGCTAACCAGAGCATTAGAGGCAGCACAAGGGAGGCACTGTGAGCAAAACCCAAAGGCTACAAACATCCACAGTGAGGAAACTGGGTAGCAAGAACCCTTGGCAATGACCTTAAACAGACTGCCACTGACTGCTGAGAGCTGACCATACAGAGCCTATGAACCTCTGTTCCTTTTGTATTTGAACACCTACTCTGTGCCAGGCACTGACCTTGGTACTAAAGACACAGCAGTGAACAAGACAAGGTCCCTGCCCTCAGAGAACTTACACTGAGGTACAGAAGACAGATAAATAACAAGTAAACAAGTTAGTACAGTAGCCACCCCTTATCCACAGGAGATATATTCCAAGACCCCTAGTGGATGCCTGGAACCGCAGATAATACCAAACCTTATATACAATGTTTTTTTCCTAGACATACATACCTATGATAAAGTTTAATTTATAAACTAGGCACAGTAAGAGAGTAACAACAATAACTAATAATAAAATAGAACAATTATAACATATACTATAATACAAGTTATGTGAATGTGGTCTCTCTCTCTCTCTCAAAATATCTTGTACAAATTAAATGCCTTTTTCCATCTTAACCACTCACTTATCACACACTTTGGACATAATTTTTGCGGTTTGGGGTGCAACAGCAAAACTAGCATGGATTTCTTCTTCCGTCTTCACAACGTCATGGATAGAAGATTTCTTCTTCCTGTGGATTTAGCAACTTTAGCATACATTATTTTTTCTTTCTTTATTAAGTTGAGAGCTTTCACTTTTTCACTTAAAGGAATCTTTTAGCATATCAGAATTGCCAGCATCACTACTCTTGCCCTTTGGGGCCATTATTGAGTAAAATAAGGGTTACTTGAACACAAGCACTGTGATACTGGGACAACTGATCTGATAACTGAGACAGCTACTAAGTGACTCACGGGTAGAATACACTGGACAGAAGGATGATTCATGTCTGGGGAGGGTCAGAAATTTTTCATTATGCTACTCAGAATGACATGCAATTTAAAATTTATTTCTGGCATTTTCCACTTAATATTTTCAGACCGAGGTTGACCTAGGGTAACTTACCTCAGAAAGCAAAACCGCAGATAAGAAGGGACTACTTCATAACCAAATAGAGCTAGCTGAACCAATGCTTCCCCTGTGCACATCCAAGTGGGATGGGAACATCCTATACATTTGATCACCCCTTAATACAAGTAAATAAGCCTGTAACTAGATAAAACTATTTTTCTCTAGATAGGAATCAAATTCAGCCCAGCCCACACTTACAGTCAGAGTAAAGTCGTAACAATCCGGGAGCTCGTGATGACGAATAGTCTGCAGATTAATGGCCTTCAATTTAAACTGCAGATCCACTGTTATGAGTCTAGAAGACAGGAGACTTCAGTGCAGTGAAAACGTATACACACAAACATGAGTTACCCTCCCATCTGTTCCCTCACCTGTGAAAGTCCAGCAGTAACTTGAGTTTTTCTTCTAGTGTTCCAACGTGAAAAGGTTCATCTGGTGCCACAAAGAAACATTCTGCCATAGAAAGGAACAAACCATAATATAGTGCCTAAAATAAATATAGAAAACTGCATCTTGAAAGGATCATATGTTTAAAACTAGATATTCAGATTCTGGTATTTTTGTAAATTAAGATTTTTAAAGCTAAACATCCATACCACGTGGTTACAGTGATTTATTTGTTTTTAATACGTGACTATAACATTTCTGGCATGGATGGGGGTAGAGAAAGATCTGAACTCTATCTCACTAGTCTTCTACAGAATGTCATCTTCCTTTCTGTCTTTTTAAGCCTAAACTTTGAGGCCCTTCTTCCTTTTTGTATCCTAAGCATATGTTTGAAGCATCTGTAGCGTCTAAGATAAAATTTTCTACGTTTAAAGGATCTTTTTAAAAAAATATTATGTTGACAATTTTTCCTCAATAAACACTGTTTTAAAAAAGGAAGATAGCATATTAGAAGGTTTTCACTAGTCAGTACTATACCCTTTACTATTCTTCTCAAAGAAAAAGTCCCAGTGGCTATTGTTAAAAGTACTTACTTTTTGACTCGATGACCTAAGTTAATGTTTTAGATACAAACTGCAAATAGAACTTTGCTAATAAGAATAAGCTGTGCTATTCTAAGCTCTGGTTTTCATTCCCTGCCCGGCCCCCCAGGCCCAGCCTACCCCGAAGACACTGAATAGTGAAGTGCTGTTGAGCAGAGAGAGTTTTATATACATCAAGAATTTGCAAGCAAACTGTTTTATAAGGACAATATCTGTCTATTTAACTGGCTTATCCAGCAGAGAGGCTGTGGAATAAAGTGGCTAAGGGCATGGCCTGGGTCAAATTTCAGCACTGCCTCTTACTAGCTCCATCATGAGCAGATCACTTAACCTTCTGAGCCACACTTCAGTCTTCTATAAAACAAGGATAATAATAAACTTGCCTCGTTGGTTTTTGTGGGGGTTTTTGTTTGTTTGTTTGTTTTAAGAATCATGAGTTATAGTGAAGTACCTGACACAACTCTGATAAAGTTCTTACTATGACCTAATAGCACAGGCCAAATCAATGTTTTCAGAGATGAAATTAGTATAAATAAGTATAAATTGATTTATAAATAAGTATAAATCAAGGAGTTAAAAATGGAAGTTCTAGCTTATAGAAGAACATCACCAGTTTCAATTTCTGGATCAATGTCAAAGGTATCATTTCCAGGACAGATGTTTCCTTGCTTGTAGAAGTGCTGACAGATGGCCATGGCTGACTGCTCCGTGCCCTTGTTCTCATAAGCGTGATTCCCAACTGAGATGTTGCGTAGCTGCAAGTACTTCAACCAAAAAGAGAAACAGAAAAAGTGGAACATCCAGACAGGTGGAAGTGAAGCCATGATTCCCCTCCCTCCCTGCCTTTGAAACAGCAGGTTCCCACCTCCTGTCCATGTGGAGACTTGCACGCTAATATGCAGAGTAATTAACATGCTACTGTGCACCAGGACCGCAGAGGTCAAAGAGCACTCTTGAATTAATTAGAGTTCTGGGTTCAGGTCTCATTTCTGTGACCTTGAGCAAGTCATAGACTTTATGAGCTGCTGCTTTCTTGTCTGCAAAATTAAAGGCTTAATTTAACCTTAAATAAATTCTCAGGTTCTTTCCTCCTTTAAAGAACTATGTTTAGGAACTGACTTTTACATTTAATGTGAATATAAATTTTATTTATCTTTAACTATTTACTATAAAGTCAGAGTTCTGCTTTACTATAATATAGGAAATGGGATAAAATTGTTCCAGGGTAACCAGCAAAACTTTGTCTAAAAATAATGTATTTTTTAAATCTTTATCTTTGTAAGAACACAGCTTGGTCACTTTTATAGCAATTTTCTCTTACTGAAAGCCCTCCCATGGCTTCCTGTCTCTCAGAATAAACTTCACAGCTCTTTTCCAGGGCCTGTTAAGCCCTGAGAGACCTATAGCCCTATCCCTGGCCCTTCCCTTACTCCTTTGCACACTTGCCTTAAACATACTAAACGTTTTCTAGCCTCCAGGACCTTTGCTGTTGTCACTCCTTCAACCTGAAATATTCTTCCCCAGACTTCAAGTCCCCAGAGAGGTCTTTTCTGACCATGCTGAGTCCATTGTTAATATTTTATGTCACTTAATTTTTTTTTTTCATAGCACTCATCACTGTTGGAAATCAACTGATTTTGGTTAAACTTGTTTAAAATGCATCTCCTCCATTAGAATGTAAGTTCCACAGGGCAAGGAGTTTATCAAGTCCACTGCTCTAACCCCAGCACTTAGAACGGTATTGTAGGCAGATAGGGTAGGGGAGGTCCCTGGAGAAAGAGAACAGGCATGGCTTTCTTGACATAAGAGAAGCCATTTTTGGCCTAAGCCTTTTTGTGATCTAATGCTGGTCCTTGAACAGGTCTCAGTAATTAATAATATTAAGGGAACAATAGAATGCAGAAACAGGCAAGAGAAGTAACAACAGCAAAGATAATACATCAATTGTAAAGATTCCCAGTTCTGTTTCCATGGTAAAGATTAGCCCAAAACACTTAACTGCCAGGTCAACTGAAATCTAAGGGATGATGATGTTAACCTTTTCTGACCCTCGTGACTTCAATCAACTAAAACTTGGACTCTGTTGACCGCCCAAGCCCCTTCATGATTATGCACGTACCCTTAGCTTAAAACTTCCCCAATTTTGCTGTTTGAGGAGACACTGCTTTGGGAAAGATCCCTGGTGTTCTCCTTACTTGCTGCAAGTAATAAATCCTTCCTTCTCCTGACCTTTGGCTCGGTTGTGTCTTTTGGTGTGACATCCACCAAGAGGCAAACCCAGTTTTCAGGTAACAGTATGAGACACAGTCAAATTAACAGTGAGGTGAAAATCACTATAACGTGATAGTGCAGGGGTCCCCAACCCCCGGTCCGCAACCTGTTAGGAATCAGGCTGCACAGCAGGAGGTGAGCAGCAAGTGAGCAAAGCTTCATCTGCCGCTCCCCATTGCTCCCATTACTGCCCGAACCATCCCCAACGCCACCGGTCCGTAGAAAAACTGTCTTCCAAGAAACCGGTCCCTGGTGCCAAAAAGGTTAGGGACCGCTGTGATAGTAGATCTTTGTTCGCTAGAGCTAATCTATGCACACCAAGATGGTAAGTTGCTCGGATACGATTTGTGATTATGGCACCAACCTTTCTGCTAGCATTGGGATTGGGAAAATGAGCCAGAAATCTACAGTGATATAATTAAGCTGCATCACTCATTAAACAGCATTATGTCCTACATACAGGGGGAAATAGTATAATGCTGGAGATATTCAGTTTTGAGCTGTTTGTTTTCCATACAAGGAAATAAGTGTCTTAAATCTTTATAAAGCTACTCTGAGTCAAACTGGTAGTTTTACACTGGGGTGTCGGGGAGTAAGAGGTAAACAGTACATTAAATGAAAAAAGACGTAAAAGATATTGAATGCGGTAAAGTACCAGGGTGCCTGGAATAGGGGATGTGTACTGGGAGGTAAAGCCAGAAAGGCAAGCAGGGGTCATGAAGCAGTCACACCTACATGGGGCCCTGTAGCCCTTCTGAGCACCCGCTCCTTGTGAGGCAGTCCCCACAGGACTTACTTAAAGATCTGAACCTCCTACCTTAGAAACTTGAGTCTTAAACCTTGTAAGACCTTGAGACACAAAAGATCCAAAGTGCAGGGCTTCAGGTACATGCTAACGTTATAAGTGATGCTACGGCCAGACTTCCTTGCTATCTTAATAAGGCTCCTCATGGAGGTCTGAGCACCTGCAGGAGATGGATGTTGTAGGCAAAGAGTGTTGCCTGCCACTCCAATAAACAATAAGTGTTGCCTGCCATCAAGCCTTCAGCCACCGCAGTGGCATCACGGGTGTGCTCTGAGGGGAATTCAGGATGGAGAAAAACAGATTACTGGTCCTGGATAGTTAAGATGCATATCAAAGGAATAACTGCCATGAGCCCAGGCTCTTGCATCTTCCCATACATAGAAAGGCACTAAAATCATTAATTTGAGATATCTGGGTTTTTTTATGATTAGCAGTAATCTTTTGATGTTTCATTACATGGGTTTTTGTTTGTTTGTTTGTTTTGTTTTGTTTCAGCAAAAGCCCTCTTTGGAACAGTCCCTCAGAGCTATCTGAGAGGCGTCTTCCCGGGCTGTAGTCTGCAGCGATGTCCTTGAATAAAACATAGTTTTCAGCTTTTAGGTTATGCATTTTTTTCAGTTCAGGGGCAAGTGGCAGAACCATGTCCAGCTAAAGGGCAGCTCTGGAGCCTGAGTCAGAGGACTCTGGGACCGGAATGTGGTGTGGGACTATCGTTGAAAGGCAGGTGACCTGTAGGACTGACTGATGGGGCACCTAACTGGCCATGGCCTCTGTGGGGCATTAATCAGGCTGGACATCTGTCCCTACTTGCCTCTGCAGCTCTGCCTTGAGGGAAGTAGTTTTTCACGCAGATCCATGGGCCCCAGGTCACCCTTTGGAAGACAATATAAAAACACGTTAAAGATCCTTACCTGAGTAACGTGGCAACCAAAGTAAAGCAGATTAAAACCGATTGCTCCTTGATTATAGATGGATTTTTTGTGGCCCCTCTGTGATCACCTGATCTCAACACATGAATCTTTTGAGCTCTTTCATTCATTCACAAACATCTGAGTGCCTGGGATGTACCTCCACCTTCCCGGAATAAATATATTAATATGTGGCACTTAACACTGTTATATGTATAAAATGAGGAGTATTATGCAATCAAATCTGTGATTTTAGATGAATCCTTTAGAAAACAGTCAAGAAATGGTAGGGAGGGAAAGGAGGGAAGCCAACCAGAAGTAGGGATATACAGACTATGTTTGAGCTGCAAGAATAAATGGTTCCAAGACCCTGAGACCTTTAAATCTAAGCAAGTGATCAGAAAGAGAAACATGTCTGGGGAGCAGGTGGGAAGAGGACAGGAACCCGTTCTGGTTGGAGTGCTTCTGAGGTGCTCGTGAGCTGTCTGCATGCAGCAGTGTGAGCAAATGGTTCAGGGTCACCTCTCCTGGCAGTGGCTGAGGCTGTGTAGAGGAGGAAATTCTGTAGGAAAAGGACAAACCTTTGAGGACTGCCTTAATTGAAGGGGCGGATGAAAGAAGGAACCCAGTAAAGATGGCCCAAACATGACTGATTGCTAAGAGCCAGGACATAGTATAAAAATAACTAGGTCTTTGATATTCAAATACATAAACATATATACTAAACAAAAGTGATGCTGTTATAACCAGTGTTGGATCAGGATGAACCCTAGAGGTTACGCAGTTAGATGGCATTTTAGGGCTCTACTGTTCAGGAAAACTAATTAGTCATGGAACTAGCTCTAAGGACTGAGAAGCTACTGTTTTATCTGTTCATTCTCCTTGGTGACTATCACCGCAACTATCAAGAGATTTCCTTACAGAAAACAAAGATCTTTCTTTCATATCAGTCTATATTTTCTCTATTCAGTTCTCTGGAATCATGTAGAATAACTGACCTCATTAACAACTAAAATTTTATTTATGAATATTGTGATCAAGATACTTTTTTTTTTTTTTTTTTTTTTTTTTTGCGGTATGCAGGCCTCTCACTGTTGTGGCTTCTCCCATTGTGGAGCACAGGCTCCGGACGCGCAGGCTCAGCGGCCATGGCTCACAGCCCCAGCCGCTCCGCGGCATGTGGGACTTCCCGGACCAGGGCACGAACCCATGTCCCCTGCATCAGCAGGCAGACTCTCAACCACTGTGCCACCAGGGAAGCCCTCAAGATACTTTTTACCTTCAGTTTAAAATGCCTGATAGTGATGTAGAGAACAAATGTATGGACACTAAGGGGGCAAAGTGGGGCTGGGGGTGGTGGTGGTGGGATGAACTGGGAGATTGGGATCGACATATATACACTAATATGTATAAAATAGATAACTAATAAGAACCTGCTGTATAAAATAAAAGAAAATAAAATTCAAAAAAAAATAAAATAAAATGCCTGATAGCGCCCAGAAGATGGTAGGGAGTCACTTGCCCTAAGTAAACCCCACCCCAATTAATATTATCTACCTATATACTAGCACAAGGAATCTACATGCAATTCTGTAAAGAACATGGAAATCTGATAAACAGAATGGCCTGACTGCCAAATATTATATTTTTAAGACTGCTCTTAGGCTTACTATATAAAAAAGGTAAAAATGTTTTAGGAGGAATTTAATGAACTGTTTACATCTTGCCTCTACCCGCCCCTCCCGCCAAAAACCAAACTACCAATTTGGTTCAGCGTAGCTTTAGATGAACTTAATAATCTTAAAACAAGAATGTCAAAGCTGAATATCTCCAGCATTTTACTATTTTTTACCTTACAAATTGTAGGGCGTATTTCTATTTAGCAACATATGCAGTTTACTTCTATTACTATAGATTTCTGGCCAATTTTTGTAATCTGAATGCGATCAGAAAGCCTTAGCGTCACAAATACGTATTTTATCTCACTGTGCATAGTTTGTCTCCAGGATAAGGAGAGCCATAATTGGACTATAATAATTTTTTGAAGAAGAGTTGTAATGTTTTTGAAATGTTATCTACAGACTAACTCAGGTTAGAAATACTGACTTCAAGAAAGCTTCCAACGATTCCCACAAAATAGGAGATTTTGGACTTGAGAAAGTACTATTTGTAGCAAAACCAAATTGATCAGAAACTCTGAATAGAAACTTGAATCATCTGTATGAAAAACAAGCTTCCTTTTTGAGGCAGTTAATCAATATTACAATAAAATCATTGTCATGTATGACATAAAGGCCTTACTTATTTTTTAAATGAAATTTCAGGTCTTGGTTACTATACACACTCTGCAAAGTTAATATTCTCATTATTTGTTAAGGGTCCCTGAAAGTATAAGCTCTGAAGACTTAATGACTACTTACAGCCAAGGTCATGGTTAATCATTTTAAACCTTTGAGGTTCTCATACCAAGCCCTAGCTCTGACTCTTTTAATTAAGTCTTTAAAGTTTCTGTCTTTCTGTTACTAAAGAAAAGCTTTTCTCAACTTCTAGGTCTGTTAAAGTTTGTTGGCAACGTTAAAAAAAATTTAACTGTTTTATACATGTCATTTACATATTTCATTAAAAAATGTTCACCCTTGTGCAACTGAATGTCAGTTTCTATTATGTACATTGCTAACAATTTTCCAGTCTAATCTTTTTCCCAAGTGAAGAATGCATGTGTTTGTTTACCTGGTTCACTGCGAAGAGGATCTGATCGTATACATCACTTTGTGTATACACTGCATATGTGTCATCCATTCGGTCTATATATCCTTTTAGGAAGAGGTGTTTGAATGCAATAGTGTTCTCTTCCTTGAAAGCTACCACCATCTGGTTACTTAGCCCAAAAAAGATCAGCTTAAAAGAAAAAAAGAAAAAGTAAGAGGGTCAAAAAGTAATGAAATAAAAGTTCTCTATAAAATGATCAATTCATCTATTCAAGATTCAATGCCTAATTAATCCTGAATATATTCAATAGAAATTAAAAGTTTGGCAGCTGTGAATTAATTTGTCCTTAAAGATAAGGTGGGTTTCTAGTTTTAAAATAAAAGAAAGCGATTTTGCATACTTTCAACATTTATTTTCATGTATGATCCCACTTATGACATTCTCCCTACCAACAAAAGCTTTAGGAGTTCAGAGAAGCCCTTTAGGAATTCTTTAGCTCAGAGAAGCAAGGTAACTGACTAAGGAAGTTGGAAGGTTTCTCTAAGGAAGAAAGAATAATAGAAACCCTAAAATATGTGCATAACTTGGTCAGGGGACATTTGAGGAACATGGGGGAAAGGCCAAGAAGGTCGAGTTGAACTTAGCACTTTGGGGGGACATTGAGGACACCAGCATAATTCAATGAGAGAAATAGTGAGAAAAAATGTGAAGAGAAAGACTGGAGTCAGATGGTGCAGGGGCTTGAATGGCAAATAGAAGAGTTCAAAATGAATTCTGTAGAACAAAAAGGTCTTGAAGCAGGTGTACAATACAACCTAAGAAATATCTTACATAAGTTTAAGTCCTACAATCAAACTATATTCCTAAGTCTAATTACCAAAACTGTGACAATAAGGCCAAAAATAAAAATATTATTTCAACTCATCTCTAAATTAAAATATATTAACATAACATATCCTTAACATTCATGCAGGATTGACCCCAGAGTTTTACATGAAACTCAGCTGTCCTCTTGCTCTCTCTCTCCCATACACACACACACACACACACACACACACACACACACACACACACACACGTGTGTGCACGCTGTAAGTTTAGAACATATATTTTGACTTAGATAGCTGAGTAAGGGGGGCAACATATATTTTATATGGAAAAGGGGAACAACACTGAAAACCTATGTTCCATACACTATTGCAGGAAGTTTCTTCATACTAATACCACAGCATAGTTCCTAATACACCCATTTTACAGATGCATACATGAAGACTCAGAGAAGTTAAATAATTTTTACAAGTCACATCAATAGCAAGTATATAGTCAAAATTCTAACCCAAGTCTAACAGACTAAATCCAAGCTCTAACTATCCAAGCTCATGCTACACAAAGTATCCAGGGTCTGATCGGGGAAAAATAGAGACAGTAGACCAATCTTTTCGCCTCTCACCTCCCCTTGTGACGTATGCCCTGTATCCCACACATGTCATCACTCTCTACCTAACTCGACTCTCATTTCTAAAGAGCCTCTTTAAGCTGTGTCCTATTTACATCTCAGTAAGATGATAGCTTGATATTCCAGGGATTTTATATCTATCGAAGCTGATGATTAAAAAGCCTCCAGAGAATTCCCAAAGGTATTTTTACCGATTCATTCAACTATATGAATACCTTCACAAGCCAGCACCGAGCTAGAAGACACAGTTCCTGCCCTCAAGGGCCTAGGGGCAGACAAGAGTACGACTGGCAGAGAGAACTACTATAATTCAGAGACTGAGCCAGGCAGTGTGAAAAGGAAACTTTTAGTAGGGTGCCTATCATCATAGTCATCTTTCTTTTGCTGCTGCAGACACAAAATCTCCAACTTAACAGAAATACCACTGTCTTTTCCCTGAAAAGAGGAAATCTGTCATCAAGTCACCCTCATTTGCTCAATTACAGAGTCTTTATGTAATATTTGTTTGATTGTTCCAATGTAGATTAAGGAAACATCACAGTTAAGAAAAACCCTCAGTTACTAAAAAAACTTACCTAAATGTCTTTTATATGCTTATTACTAACAGGCTTAACATCTTAAACTGTTAGTCAATTTTCCTCTTGACCACCCTAGGAAACACAGGAAAGTTAGATGAGCTTCCTAAATCTTTTAGGACTTGAGGATATGGGGAGGTGGAAGGGTAAGCTGGGACAAAGTGAGAGAGTGGCATGGACATATATACACTACCAAACGTAAAATAGATAGCTAGTGGGAAGCAGCCGCATAGCACGGGGAGATCAGCTCGGTACTTTGTGACCACCTAGAGGGGTGGAATAGGGAGGGTGGGAGGGAGGGAGACACAAGAGGGAAGAGATATGGGGACATATGTATATGTATAACTGCTTCACTTTGTTATAAAGCAGAAACTAACACACCATTGTAAAGCAATTATACTCCAATGAAGATGTTTAAAAATTAAAAAAAAAAAAGAACATAAGTCTTAGAGGGAATAGAATCTGAGTTTGAATCTCAGTTCTATTCTTCTAGTTTCCTGACTATGACAGGTTATTTTACTTCACTAAACCTCAGTGTTTTCATCTGTGTAATGGGGATACTACTACCTAACTCTGATTTGTTTTAAGAATTGAATGTGATGATATAAAATGTTTAGGCCGAAACACAGTAAACACACAAGTGGTACCTATCATTCTAAGTAGAAAATATTCATGTTCAACTGACACAGGCTTTCCCTCCAACTTATCAGAAATAACACAGATAAATATTTTCACTATTGTGACACACCACATTATCAGCTGGAAGTTAAGCATTTCAATTCCAGCTTGCCAAATATACTGAGAACTGAACATCCATTTTTATGTTGATATGTTAGAGGGAGAGAACACGTGCCTCTAAAGTCTTGATTCCGCCAGTGGCAGTACTAGTCAGTACTAATCACGTGGTTCTATAAATATCAGTTCCTTATTCTGTAAACCAAAGGATTCCAGTATTTATCCAATAAAAGTATTGTTGAAATTAAATGAAATAATGTCCTGGAACAAAATAATCACTCAAATGTCAGTTTCCTTTACACAACACCTAGCATCAGAAATGTAGGCAAGAATTTCACCAACTTCATATGACTGTAGAAATAGCCTTAGCTTCTAACACCTTAAGCATTTGTTCTCAATTATCAGTTAAGATTAGCAATTTCGGAGTTAAAAAAATTCTCCTTGAATACCAGTTGTTTATGTACTTATGCATTTTTCACCAAATTACGAGAAAGTATTAATAAAAATAAACGTATCACATCTATTTTTCCTATTAAAATCTTTTATTTTTGCCCCTTTGCTTTTAACAAGAGATAGTTACTCTCACCAGCAGGAAAACATACCTTCGCAAGAGTAAATCATAAGTATATATAAAGAATCACAAAATATAATTTCCCCCCAAAATGTTAAGAGAAGGCAAGGAAATGAGATTCAACATCTCCTGAAATGAAGTCTCATATTTCACTACCTATGCTACTCCTTTTAATCAACTCCACATTCTTCCACCTCAGGGCTCCCATGATCACAGGGACGTGAGAATCCAAATACTCTTAACAAAAATCCTGAAGTTTCTGAAGAGACAGAAATTCTCAGGAAACTAACTAAGGGGAAAAAAAGAATCCTCTGGTTGGGCAATAGCTAGTTTCCACAGTTGATTTAAAAACCTTCAGCTAAGCTTCTTGATTGGAAGCCAAATATTAAAATTTTCTTTTCCTGCAAACCAATTACATTGTGAGTAAAATTATAACTTCATGAAAGATGAGAAGGAAAAGAGTTAGAGAAAACAAAAAAACCAAAGTCTTCTTTCACAAATATTGAAGTGGGAGGGTTTAAGATTGCATATCTCCTTAATTATTGTTCTTTATTATGCATACAGTTAAAAGTTATAAAAAATAAAACAAAACTGTCCATAGTTCTCTTTGTTAGTAAAAGAAGACTTTGCTAATCTCATGATCTGAGATCGTTACCTGGATGGTTACCATTGCCATTTTTAGAATTTGTATGGCAAGTTTCCACGGTTTTCTACCTCGAGCCCAGAACTTCTCACAAGGATTCATGAAAAAAAATTTGAGTTTTCGCCTCATCTGGTCTTCTAATAGAAGCTCCTCAGGGGGAGACGTATGCTGGTTAAAAGTGCAGCGATTTTCTTCTTCATGAGAGCTGCAGCTACTTATAACAACCTCAGGATTTGCCATCTCTAGGAGGAAAAAAAAAAAAACTGTAAATGAAGGCAACATCTATGTTCTTTGCTATTGCAGGATAGTTGATGAAGTCCAGACAAAAGATCAGCTTTCAAATAAGCACCATTGTTCTAAACTGCACCTTTGAAGATCAATGGCACAGGATAGAAAGCCCAGAAATAAACCTGACACACCTATGGTCAATTAGTCTATGACAAAGGAGGCAAGAATATACAATGGAGGAAAGACAGTCTCTTCAATAAGTGGTGCTGCGAAAACCGGACAGCTACATGTAAAAGAATGAAATTAGAACATTCTCTAACACCACACACAAATAAATGGATTAAAGACCTAAATGTAAGGCTGGAAACTATAGAATTCTTGGAGGAAAACATAAGCAGAACACTCTTTGACATAAATCACAGCAACATCTTTTTCAATGTCTCCTAGAGTAATGGAAATAAAACCAAAAATAAACAAATGGGACCTAATTAAACTCAAAAGCTTTTACACAGCAAAGGAAACCCTAAACAAGATGAAAAGACAACCCACAGAATGGGAGAAAATATTTGCAAACGATGTGACCGACAAGGGATTAGTCTCCAAAATTTACAAACAGCTCATGTGGCTCAATATTAAAAAAACAAACAACTGAATCAAAAAATGGACAAAAGACCTAAATAGACATTTCTCCAAAGACATACAGATGGCCAAGAGGCACACGAAAAGATGCTCAACATTGCTAATTATTAATGAAATGCAAATAAAAACTATAATGAGATATCACCTCACATCAGTCAGAATGGCCATCATTGAAAAATCTACAAACAATAAATGCCGGCTGTGGAGAAAAGAGAACCCTCCTACACTGCTGATGGGAATGTAATTTGGTACAGCCACTATGGAGAACAGTATGGAGGTTCCTTAAAAAACTAAAAATAGAGCCACCACATGATCCAGCAATCCCACTCCTGGGTATATATCCTGAAAAAAACATGGTTAGAAAGGATACATGCATCCCAATGTTCACTGTAGTGCTGTTTACAATAGCCAAGACATGGAAGCAACCTAAACATCCATTGACAGATGAATGGATTAAGAAGATGTGGTACATATACACAATGGAATATTACTCGGTCATAAAAAAGAATGAAATAATGTCATTTGCAGCAACATGGATGGACCTACAGATTATCATACTAAATGAAGTCAGACAAAGAAAGACAAATATCATGTGGTATCAGTTATATGTGGAGTCTAAAAAAAATGATAAAATGAACTTATTTACAAAACAGAAACAGACTCACAGACATAGAAAACAAACTTAGGGTTACCAAAGGGGAAAGGTGGGAGAGAGAGAGAAACTAGGAGGTTGGGATTAACATATACACACTACTATATACAAAATAGATAATCAACATGGACCTACTGTATAGCACAGGGAACTCTACTCAATATTCTGTAATAACATACAGGGGAAAAGAATTTGAAAAAGAATAGATATAGGTATATGTATGACTGAATCACTTTGCTGTGCACCTGGAACTAACACAACATTGAAAATCAACTATACTCCAATATAAAACAAAAATTTTTTAAATAAAAAATAAAAAGAGGGGGCTTCCCTGGTGGCACAGTGGTTGAGAATCTGCCTGCTAATGCAGGGGACATGGGTTCGAGCCCTGGTCTGGGAAGATCCCACATGCCGCGGAGCAACTAGGCCCGTGAGCCACAACTACTGAGCCTGCGCATCTGGAGCCTGTGCTCCGCAATGAGAGGCCACGACAGTGAGAGGCCCGCACACCGCGATGAAGAGTGGCCCCCGCTTGCCACAACTAGAAAAAGCCCTCGCACAGAAACAAAGACCCAACATAGACAAAAATAAATAAATAAACAAATGTGGGGTTTAAATAAATAAATAAAAAGAATGTGGTTACAATTACAAAAAAATAAACTGCACTTTTGATGCTTACAAAATCAGTTAGAACATAGCACGTGATTTTTCTTTTGGTTTCAGTTACTGAGTGAATTTTTACCCAATTGAAAACTACCAAATTCAAGGGCTGCTATTAATAAAAGACTATATGTACCTATATAGAGAATGTTATATGCTTTCTGCCTCATTCAGTAACAGGTATAGTTAGAGCAGGGTGTCCTGAAAGCACTGGTAAGGTGTCAGAGAGTAGGCTGGACTCAGAAATTATATGCAAAATTTTGTAGATATATGGATATGGTCACTTTTCCTGGGGAGATACTTACCATTTCATCAGATTATCAAAAAAAAAATTTTTAAACCATTGAGTTAAAGGTAAAAGATGTGATGAACAGCAGGGGTCCCCAAGCTCCGGGGACCTGTTAGGAACCCGGGCCACGCAGCAGGAGGTGAGCGGCGAGCAAGCAATGGAAGCTTCATCTGCTGCTCCCCATTGCTTACGTTACAGCCTGAACCATCTCCCCCTCCCCCCCAGTCCATGGAAGAATTGTCTTCCACGAAACTGGTCCCTGGTGCCAAAAAGGTTGGGGACCGCTGATGTAGAGAACCAGATCCTGTTTGGTTTCTAATCCTGGTTCTACAATGTGACACTTCTGTGACCTTAGGCAAGTCACTCAGCCTGTCTGAGCCTCAGTTTTCTCTTTTGCAAAATGGGAATAAGAATATCTACCCTCATGTGTTTCTAGTGAGAAACTGCAAATAAAACCCTTGCATAGGGTCTAACACTAAACAAGCAGCCTCACTTTCCCTACAGCCCCAGCAGACAGAGCAGCTTCCTAAACAGCCAACAAGGTTCTTAAGAGACAGTGTGAGCTTCAGGGGACTTACAAAGGAGGTCTGAAAAGGAGAATTCAGAATCTCAATTTAAGTCCAAGTCCCGATCAGCAACATCACTTGTATTAGCTTTTTATTGAAGGCCTTAGAGTTATGTAGCACATTTTACTTTTCAAAGCACTTCATACATTTTTTTTTTAAATCCCTTTGCAGAGGATAGGGTTGGTTTTATTGTCTTCACAGTCAGCTTATCCAAAGTGATAAAGAAGTTACTCCAGAAACTGGAAACTGTCTTGGATTTTCCCTCAGGCTAATATTGATATCATGGAAACTTCTTCAAAATGAAATACCCCAAACCACCACGGAGAGGAGAGTTCTTTTTTATAGAATAGTAAGGCTGGCTCTGTTTGATATTTTCACTATAACTTCTACTCAGAGACTGGGATGGGGTGGGGGGAGGATTCAAACTGTACTAACACAATATCTAACAAGTCACTGTTTAGGTGCTTTCCAAGTCTAGAATCCGACATCTGGTTCTGAAATCAAACATTCTTGGCAAACCCAGCATCTCCAAAAATAGATATTGGCTATAAAAACTATCCATGGGGAAGGTTTTAAAATTCTTGATGAATGAAAAGGTTAATAAGGATAGGGGACTTCCCTGGCAGTCCAGTGGTTAAGACTCCGTGCTTTCACTGCAGTGGGCTTGGGTTGATCCCAGGTGGGGGAACTAAGATCCCGCATGCCTCGCAGACAAAAAAAAAAGAAAAAAAAGAAAAGAAAAGAAAGAAAGAAGGATATTGCTGAGTCAATAGAGCATGAAACATATTTACAGTAGCATATGCAGTACCTTCAAAATGAAATAATTATGATAGAACTCATTAAAGTATGGCTGGCGTGGGTGTTAAAATGCCTGTCAAAGTCCGAGTACAATAACTCATAGATAAAGACATAGGGAGAGAAAAAAGTTAATCCCTTAGGATTTTCACTCAAGAACATTTTATTGCCTTCTTCGAAAAGGTATATTTTTCACCAGCATTTAAGGAGACTTTACCTATGGGATTTATAAGGAAGATGATTCACGCGAGTTCATGGAAACTCGCATATGAACAGTAACATAATAATGAAGCTCTTAATAATACAGCATGTTGGTGAATGACAGATTTGAGGTCACATTCAGCCCTTTGTATTTTGATACAGGTAAAATTAAACCGTAAACAAACTAGCCACACGCCGTGTAACAGTAACCCACAGGAACGAAGAGAAAAAGAACCAACCACAATTAATTTATTTAGCACATCGCACCAAGCTGTCCCGAACCGTAAGATGTTTCATTCACAAGGACTGACCGCTAAACTCTCTGCAAACCTTAGTTTACCGTCAGAGAAGGTCTTCTGAAGGTGCACTTTAAAAACTGAGACTGTCCAGACCCCTAGCCGCTGACAGAGTGTCGCCCAACACTCCTGTACACCCACCCGGGGGGCAGCGCAGGATGCAGGGTCGGTGGAGACGCGGGTCAGGAAAGTCTCTCCGCGATACTATATCTGGTCTTAGAATCTACAAACACACCGAGGTTCCTTATTCACGGCGAGGAGGGGCTTAACTGGAATGAACTGCAGAAAACTAAAGAAAACCGAGGAATATGTGTAAAGAGTAAAAGCCTCACAGTTGATGACAGGGACGCGAGCTCCTTACACGACCCGAGCCCGGCTGGAAGCTGCTTTCGCCCAGCGCAGGGACGCCGGCTTTGGGCCCCAAGTCCATCCTCCCCCTACCCTCTAATAAAGGGACACTGAGTCAAGTCTGGCTTGCACAGTCTGGCTGTGCAAGCTGCAGAGTGTCTCCGAGCTTCCCCCCTCCCGCGGCCCCCGGCCGCAGGCCGACGGCCGCCCCTTTCCCAGGCCTCCCAGGCGAGGCCCCGCCCACAGGTGGCTTCCCGGGGTTGGGGGTATGGTGGCGCGTCAGGGTCTCCCGGCGCCGCAGCTTGAGTACCGGCTACTCCGGGCGGGGGGGGGGCGCCGCCACTGACCTTGGGCGGGCGGCCGAGGGGGCGCGGGGCCGAACCGCTGCAGCTCGCACCCCGCTCCCACCTGTGTCCCCTCCATGGCGCCGCCGGCCGGGGCCCGACCCTCCCGCCGTGTCTCACCGACGGCTTGAGACGTCGCGGGCTCTCCCTTCGCGCCGCGGGCGCCGTTCCCACGACACCTGATGCCTCCGGGCGTTTCGGGGCTCGGTTCACCTGCGGCCGCGGCGCGCGGAGGGGGAAGCGGGGCGCCGGCTAGTGAGCGTGGGGGCGGCCTTCTGTCCGAGGCCGGTGAGCAGCCCTAGAAGCCT